AAATACTTAAATCGTAAAACAATTCCAGAGTTTGGGATTCCTCACTGCAATTCAGAAGTGGACCCCAAACTGAAGAACAAGCAAAAACTCTAGACGGTCTCAACTAACTTATTACTTTGGGTGATATTGATTCAGTCAATCAACAGACATTTATTAAGCGCCTATTATGTACTAGGCACTGTGTTAAGCAATGAGAATACAACTAAAGGCAAAAAACAGATCCTGCTCTCAAGGAACTCACAGTCTAATGGAAGAGATGATGCACAAACAGCTATGAACAAATAAACTATAGACAGGATGAACTGGAAATAATCAGGAGACGAGGCATTGGAATTGAGATTGCGAAAGAACTTTTTGCAGAGGATAAGATTTTGCAGAAGATGGGACTTGAAAGAAAGTAGGGAAACCAGAAGGTGAAGATGAGGATGAAGATATTCCAGGCATGGGGGACAGCCAGTAAAAATGTATCATTGGATCACAAGTACCTGGTGGGGTAGATGGTGTAAAAAAACTGGAAAGGGTAGGGGTGAGGGGCTGGTTTTGAAGAATTTTGAGAATTGTAGTAACTTAAATGAAATATAAGATGTCCAAATTTAGAACCATCTTCACTCCAAATGTTCACATGGACTATTTGTGTCTGACCTGTGGTAGAGCTGTCTAAGCTTGTATTGGTCTGATCAGCCACAGTTGATCACATTATACCTTGACTTCGACATTGTGATGTCATTTTGGACCTCTTTGAGAACAAAGAGCAACAACCATAAAGGATTTTGAATGTCAAATAAAAGATTTTGTTTTTGATTCTGGAGGTGATAGGGAGCCATTGGATTTTTTTGGGGGGGTGGGAACTGGAACATACTTTAGGGTCACTTTGATAGCTGAGTGGAGGATGACTGGAGTGCAGAGAGAGTTGAGGTAGGGAGCCCAACTACTGAAATAATCCAGGTGTGAAGTGATAAAAGCCTGTACCAGGGTGGTGGCAGTGACAGGAGAGAAGGGGCATATGCTAGAGGTATAATGAAGGTAGAATCAACAGGCCCTGGCAACAGATATGGGGGTTGGCATGTGAAAGAGAGTGAAGAGTTGAGGATGAAACCTAGGTTGTGATCATGGTGACTGGGAGGATGGTGGTACCCTCAACAGCAATAGGGAAGTAAGGAAGAGAAGAGAGGTTTGGAAGAAAGATAATGAGTTCAGTTTTGGACATGTTGAATATAAGATATCTATGGGACATCTAGTTTGAATATACAGATGGACAGATGACAGATAGATATATATGTATGCACATTTATTTATATACATACATACATATGCACACACACATATATGCATCTAATCTAATTCCTTTACTTTCCAAATGAAAAAATTAAGACCCAGAAACATGACTTGCCTAGGTCACATAGGTGAGATTTATGTGAAAATGTATGCAAGAGAGTACCTGTGTACCTATGTACTCAGACTCAATCCATCAAGAATTTATTGAATCCCCTCTATGTACAAGGTACTATCCTATAAGGCACTTAGCCTGGCACACTCTGCCTGACATTTGGCCCTTAGCTGAGTTTGGTGGATCATACCAAGGTGTGCCGGTCGTGCTGTGCACTCTCCTTCTAACAGGAGCAGGCTGCCAGGGTCATACTCACCAGTCCTCGGAGCCCACCCGGATAAACATAGAGACGAGCCGATCGGGAGGTGCAAGCACTCGAACTTTGTTCAGAGGCCATCACAGCAAGGCCAAGCAGGAAAGCAAGAGCAGGAGCAAGAGAGCGAGCTCCGACCCCTACCGCCCCTTATATACCTTCCTAGCCCCTCCTCCTCAGCCCGCCTACTAGTGATTGATTGTAGGATCAGATACTGGAAGGGGATGTCTGGGGTTAGCACTGCACCAAGGGAGAGGACTAGACAAAGGGAGCTCGTTCTCTGCCATCCCACTCCCACGTGGCACAGCCCCCTGCCTCAGGAGCACATGCTCCGGCTACTTCCCCGTATCCTGTTCCTACCCCAGTTCACTACAACTCCACATGGCACAGCCCCCTGCCTCAGGAGCGTGAGCTCCGGTTACTTCCTAATATCTTGTCCCTGCCCCATCTTGCCACAATCCTCATGTGGCAGTAGCCAACATCAGACAGTCCCTCACACCAAGGTGTTACTCAAGAGTTGTTAGCCTACCGCTGCATCCCAAAAGACAATAACTGAGATGGAGAGCACATATAGTTACCCCTTCCACATCACAGGGGTTAGGGGCATGGCACCCTCTCAATATGAAAAATCTATGTAACATTTTTTGGCCTTCTCTTTGTAGCAGAGAAGTCTGAATAATTATGGTATTAAAAGATAAAATATGTTGATATTGTACAATACTATACATATATTTTATGCATTTCTGAGTTTCTTAACTTTTTCTGTGTCATCTGCTGGCTTTTGCATGTCATTTGTGGCTTCTGCAAAACTCCAGGAAAATTCCCATTTAGTTTCTTATGCCAACCTGCAATATATCAAAACTGCAACGGGGAAATTTGAGATGTGGAAGGGATAATTGTACTCATAAGCTGTTATAAGGAAGGTAGCCATAAGATTGGCCAATCTCTGTCCACCTGCTGGTCTCAGTAACCAGTAGAAATTATGTCTGCCAGAGACTATAAAATGAGTAGGTAGCAGGTTCAATGGGACTGGTGATGACATTACCACAACACATTGATGATATGCTTTGTCTTGGTTGTAAGCTGTTCATGTGCCCTAGACACGTCTTCACTACATATGTTTGCTCTTCTTATTGAACTATGTCTATGTAAGTGAGATTATGCCCAGATTAATGAGAGAAATGACCTGTGGCTACATTTCTAACTACAATATTTCATGAAGAGCTTTTCCTTTGAACCATTAGAGTTCTCTGGCTGTTTATCTATCTATCTATCTATCTATCTATCTATCTATCTATCTATCTATCTATCTATCTAT